CGAAGAATTTGCAGGGTGGGTGGCTTCTGAAAACTTACCAAAAGCGCATGCCCAGACGCCTTGGGAGGCGGGGGGTGCCGGGGTGCAGGGGTGGGGTCCCGGAGAAGAATTTGCAGGGTGGGTGGCTTCCGAAAACCTACCAGAAACGCATGCCCAGACGCCTCGGGAGGCTGGGGGTGCCGGGGTGCAGGGGGGGGGTCCCGGCGAAGAATTTGCAGGTGGGGTGGCTTGGGTGGCTTTTTACCAGGAATGCTGGAGCCGGCGAAAATGCATGCCCCGAGGCCTCGGGGGGCTGGGGGTGCCGGGGTGCAGGGGGGGGTGCCGGCGAAGAATTTGCAGGGTGGGTGGCCTCGGCGAGGAGGGGGGCACGGGTGGTTTCGGGCGAGAAATCGTCGCGTGGGGGGGGGGCCGGGGCGAGGAAGGGGGCATGGTTGGTCTCGGGCGAGAAATCAAAAAAACGCATGCCCAGAAGCCTCGGGAGGCTGGGGGTGCCGGGGTGCAGGAGGGAATCCCGGCGAAGAATTTGCAGGGTGGGAGGCTAGTGAAAACCTACCAAAAACCTCGAGGCTCGGGAAGCTGGGGGTGCCGAGGTGCGGGGGGGGGCCCGGCGAAATTTGCGCCTTGGCGAACGCGCCAAAACGGCTCGGGGGCTGGGGGTGCTGGGGTGCAGGGGGGGTCCCGGCGAAGAATTTGCAGGGTGGGTGGCTTGTCAAAACCTACCAAAAACGCATGCCCAAAGGCCTCGGGAGGCTGGGGGTGCCGGGGTGCAGGGGGGGTCCCAGAGAAGAATTTGCAGGGCGGGTGGCTTCTGAAAACTTACCAAAAGCGCATGCCCAGAGGCCTCGGGAAGCTGGGGGTGCCGGGGTGCAGGGGGGGGTCCCGGCGAAGAATTTGCAGGGTGGGTGGCTTCTCAAAACTTACCAAAAAAACGCATGCCCAGATGACTCGGGAGGCTGGGGGTGCCGGGGTGCAGGGGGGGGTGCCGGCGAAGAATTTGCAGGGTGGGTGGCTTTTAAACCCGGTAAAAACGCATGCCCAGAGGCCTCGGGGGGCCGGGAGGGCCGGGGTGCAGGGGGGGGTCCCGGCGAAGAATTTTCAGGGTGTGTGGCCTCGACAAACCATTACCCAGCGGCTGCAGGAGGCGGGGAATGTCAGGCGCGGCGGGGGGGGCCCGGCGAAGATTTTGCAGGGTTGAGGGTCCTTGAAAGCAGAGGCCGAGAAGCCTCAGGAGGTTGGGAATGTCAGGCGTGGTGGCGGGTGGGTGGTTTCGGGCGCGGTGGCGGGTGGGTGGTGGGTCGGGGGTATGTGCGGGGGGTGCCGGGGCGAGGAATGCGTGGTTTCGGGGAAGAAATCGTCGCGTGGGGGGTCCCGAGATCGAATCGAGCTCTCCTGCGGTGGGGGTGCCAGGGCCAGGAGGGGGGTATGGGTGAGGAGTGCCGGGGCGAGGACGGGGGCATGGGTGGTTTTGGGCGAGAAATCCAAAAACGCATGCCCAGAAGCCTCTGGGGGCTGGGGGTGCCGGGGTGCAGGGGGAGATTCCGGCGAAGAATTTGCAGGGTGGGTGGCGTCTAAAAACTTACGAAAAAAAACGCGTGGCCAGAGGCCTCGGGAGGCTGGGGGTGCCGAGGTGCGGGGGGGAGCCCGGCGAAGAATTTGCGGGGTGGGTGGCATATAAGAACGTACCAAAAACGCATGCCCAGAGGACTCGGGAGGCTGGGGGGTGCCAGGGTGGAGGGGGGGTCCGGCGAAGAATTTGCAGGGTGGGTGGCTTGTCAAAACCTACCAAAAACGCATGCCCAGAGGCCTCGGGAGGCCGGGGGCGCCGGGGCCCAGGGGGGGTCCCGGCGAAGAATTTGCAGGGTGGGAGGCCTCTGAAAACTTACCAAAAACGCATGCCCAAAGGCCTCGGGAGGCTGGGGGTGCCGGGGTGCAGGGGGGGGGTCCCGGAGAAGAATTTACAGGGTGGGTGGCTTTTAAAAACTAACCAAAAACGCATGCCCAGAAGCTTCGGGCGGCTGGGGGTGCCGGGGTGCAGGGGGGGGGTCCCGGCGAAGAATTTGCAGGGTGGGTGGCTTTTAAAAACTTACCAGAAACGAATGCCCAGAGGCCTCGGGAGGCTGGGGGTGCGGAGGTGCAGGGGGGAGTCCCGGCGAAGAAGAATTTGCGGGGGGGTGGCTTTTAAAAACCCGGCAAAAACGCATGCCCAGAGGCCTCGGGAGGCTGGGGGTGCCGGAGTGCAGGGGGGGGCCCGGCGAAGAATTTGCAGGGTGGGTGGCCTCTACAAACCATTGCCCAGAGGCTGCAGGAGGCGGAGAATGTCAGGCGCGGTGGAGGGGCCCCGGCGAAGATTTTGCAGGGTTGGGGGCCCTTGAAAGCTGAGGCCGAGAAGCCTCAGGAGGTTGGGAATGTCAGGCGTGGTGGCGGGTGGGTGGTTTCGGGCGCGGTGGCGGGTGGGTGGTGGGTCCCAAGAATTGAACTCTCTTGTGGTGGGGGTGCCGGGGCCAGGAGGGGGGTATGGGTGCGGGGCGAGGAGGGGGGTATGGGTGGTTTCGGGCGAGAAATCGTCGCGTGGGGGGTCGCAAGAATTGAGCTCTCCTGCGGTGGGGGCGCCGGGGCCAGGAGTGGGGGGTGCCGGGGCGAGGAGGGGGGCATGGGTGGTTTCGGGCGAGAAATCGTCGCGCGGGGGGCCCAAGAATTGAGCTGTCCTGCGGTGGGGGTGCCGGGGCCAGGAGGGGGGCGTGGGGGGGTGCCGGGGCGAGGAGGGGGGCATGGGTGGTTTCGGGGAAGAAATCGCCGCGTGGGGGGCCCAAAAAATTGAGCTCTCCTGCGGCGGGGATGCCGGGGCCAGGAGGGGGGTACGGGTGGGGGGTGCCGGGGCGAGGAGGAGGGCATGGTTTCGGGCGAGAAAACGCATTCCCAGAGGCCTCGTGAGGCTGGAGGTGCCGGGGTGCAGGGGAGGGGGCCGGCTGGGGTCGGCGAAGGGTTTGCAGGGCGGGTGGGTCTGAAGGCATCGTATGCAGATAGTGAAAATGATGATGCATAGGGTGGCATCGTATGCAGCTGAGAAGGATGCCCCGCGCGCCTCATGGGGTCGGCGGATTTAGCAGTTACCGGAGATCTCAGCACGCCTCTGGCCCGTTGGGCCGGCGAATTATGCGGCTTGATTGTAAGACCACCTAAGCGCGCATTGTCGGGGGGCGTGCTGGGTGGACGCGGCGGCTGCTGGCGCGCGGGCAGCCCTTCTCCTGGGCGAGGTGCGCGGCGCAGCGCCTCGCGCAGCTCCCGAAGGCCCTGGACTGACCGGGGCCTTGCCAGGCGCCCGCGGCTGCGTGTGGCGCTTGCTGTCCGCTCGTCAAAAAGCATGCGCTGTCTGGGGAACTTTCTCGACGTCGGGCGATCGAGAAAGCCCCTCGTCTTCGGCGCGCCTCCCCATCGGCGGAGGCCAGCGGGAGGCTGGCGGAGGTAGAACGACGGCGGGTCCGCCGGCGGAGTGCGGCGGAAGCAACAGTGGGACTTGGAGCCGGGCTGGGGGTCTGCGGTGGCGCAGCGCTGGTTCCGGCCAGCATCGGTTCAAGGGTCTGGGTTCGGGAAGGTTTTGTGTTTTTTCGGGCCTCTTGGGGCCGTTTACGGGCCTTTGGGATTGTCGAAGACACATGTTGATTTGTGGTGAAGAATTGCTCAGAGGACCGATTTTGAACAGATTTGGCCTCGCTCCCACTTCCTGGTCGATGTACTGTGGCCCCAACCAATTCAGACCCCCTGGCCGCCGTCGACACTTTTAGATCCACGGTTTCCATAGCCGGCCAGTGCAAGCACTGTCTGGGGACATTTCGATGCGTTTGTGCCAGTGTTCGGAGGTATTGAGAACACGTCCACGGCCACAATACAGTTATCCGCGTCAGCCGCTTCTGAGTCGTGCGCCCGGATTCTCGAGGACCCCTCCAAGAGTGGTGGATTTGGAGATTTGCTTGCCTTCGAGGGCGATAAGTATCCTGGCGAAGGACCCAGCCATGTGCAAATATCCGTGACGTAAAGCAGGCGGGACGAAAAAAAGGGAATTCGCCTGGGGCCACGAAGCGAGCTAGGGGTGTGCCGAACTGGGCGGGGGGACCGCGTGCGACCCGCCTCTTTGTGGCCTTCGGTGGAGTTCCCTATGAGGCCACGAAGTGTGCGAGGGGTGTGCCGGGGGGGGGGCGCATGTTGCTGGGGCCACGAGGCGCGTGAGGGGTGCCTAAATGTGCTGGGGGACCGCGTGTGCCCCCCCCCCCCTTCTGGGCTTCGGTGGAGCTCCTTCTTGGGCCACGAAGCGTGCGAGGGTTGTGCCGAAATGGGTATGCGGATGGCGGAGGCAGGGATGGCGGGAGGGATGAGGGTAGGGGAACAAAATGTGTCATAAACATAAAAATTCTGAGGTCCGCGCGGATTTCTCGGATCGGCGCTGGGGCCCCCCAGCGGCGCCTCCGGCGCCGCCCCTGGCGCGCTCCGCGCGCCAGGGAGGGGGTCGAGCGCCCATCCGAGAAATCCGCGCGGACCTCAGAGTTTTTATGTTTATGCCACTTTTCGTTTCCCTAGAAGGGGGAGGAGGAGGGGAGAGGAGAGGAGAGAGGAGAGGAGAGGAGAGGAGAGGAGAGGCGGGGTTTTGTTTCTCCGAAGCGAGGAACCAACAATACAGGATGGCTCAGACATATCAATACCCACCGTTCCCCCAGGACGCAGGGCAAGACTCTAGCAGCTGTGGATGTGGATGTTCCCTGGCGGCGCACGAGCCTGAGAGGGGCAGCGGTGTTCGCCCACGGCCACCCTTGGGCTCAGAGCGCCGTGAGGTGGTCCCCCCACCCCAGTTCAGCTTTTTGTGGCTCTCTGTCAGCGTGTCGATTTTCGAAAATCAAAGAACGGCACGCACAGAACAGGATCTGGCGTGGACGCTGCTTTTCCTCTTGGGGGCTGCCTTGTGCGTCGAGACCGGCCGAAGCGGCCGATCGGTGGAGAGGGCAACTCAGGCTGGATCGACATTCCCTCCAAGGACTGGTTCGAGCAGCAGTTCGAACACAACTTCGTGAAGGTTGGGAATTCCATGATGACGGGCGAGGTGGCAACTTTAGTGGCTGGTCGAGTGCTCTTTGCGTCGCCATCGTGTTTCATCAGTGCCTACCTCCGAAGGGGTTCAAAGGATTCGGGCGTACTCTGCGGGGACGCTCTTTTTTAGTCAGGGTGGCGAGCAGGATAATCGTCGTCGTCGTGGTCCTGGTCGATCTTGGGACTTCAAGGATCGCGCAGTTGCTTAGATCACTCGTGTCGGCTTCTCTTTGTTCTGGACCCTCCTCGCACTGGGAAGAAATGGGCGCTGCCGGACCGCTCGATGAAGTCAGTGGCGAGCGAGCCGATTTGACAGCACGGTTTTTTGTTTAGAATAGGCTCGAACATGTTTTTTTTTTTTAATCTTGGCGGAGTTCATTTGCGGTGGCTGAGCTCCCGTTCCAGATAATGTCATGTCACAGGCCGTGGGCCAGGTTAGCCTCGAGGGCTGGTGGGTGGGCTGACTGGGGGTTGGTGGGCGGGTTGACGGGAAAGGCTGCCGCCGCAATTCTTCGTCACGCATTTGTTCCAATCTGACGTTGTGGGCCAGTAGATTCGGCATCCGTTTCTCGCGATGCCCGATTGCGCTTTGCGAAATGCTGAGGCTCACCCTGGTTTTCGGAAGCATCCGATGCCCTGTCCGCCAACCGTCGGCCTTGCTCTGGTGGTGCATTGTGATTTGCTCTGGACCCTGGCGGCGAAGAAAACAGGTCGTGACGCAGATCTCGAAGTACTGCGCCGTCAGGGAGCTCTTCGGAGAAACGAAGAAGGAGCAGGACTCGAGGCCGCAGAAACACCTATGAGTAGCAACATGGGGGTAATAGATCTGGCCAGTACTCGTGGTGCCGCGAGCTGCTGTCCGATTCCTCGACGGCACGTCTCTTCAATCGATTACCACCCCATTATGTGAGCGGCTCAACTTCCTTGCTGGTGTTCTCGTTGATTTGTTGTCCCTTAGTGAAACGTATTGCGACGCAGTGTGTTTTGTCTTGCCAGAGTCCATTATGATGCCGCGTGCGGCAGTTAGCGTTTGTGTAATGTGACCTCCCAGCAGTGCTTGCATGCAGGGGCTCTTGTGTTCTAAGTAATGGGATGGCTGGTGCGCTGGCTGGCATTTCCGGACTTTGGGTCGGTGGCCGCCCGTGGGCGCTTCGTGGGCGCCCCGTGCGTTGGCTGGCATTGCCAGGTTTCGGTCGGTGGCCGCCTCGTAGTGCTTCGCGCGCTGGCTGCCAGTCAGCAAAGAATCACACGATCTACTTCCCTCCCGAGCCGGGACTTCTCGGTTCCCTTCCGCATCCTATATGCTCATATTTGTTACACATGATTTGTAGTCTTTATCATGAAATCGTACCATCCCAGCCAGGCAGGTATTGGTTCCCCCTGCAAGCACATTCGTTTATCTGAAACTATTGTATTGCAAGTATCCCTTACAAGAAATACCACGAAATCCACGAGCGCGCACATGTCCAATCATGTCAAGCACAGTAGTCGGCAATCGCTTCTACATACAAGCATCAGACACCCATTGATTTTCCATCCGCAATCTGGCAGAAGTTCGGTTTGCGCGCACTTGCTAAAGTCGTAGGAACACTATGTCATCTCAGGAAACTCGTCCAGAACCCGCACTTCCATATCACCACGCGGTGCATCGGCGTTGATCTAGCATGCGCCCAGTGCACGAATCCGTATTCAACAATTTCGTGCGGGTCACATGCTCGCGCCGCTACGCTCGCATGTCGAATTCCTTCGAAAACCATAGGTTTTCGACGCACTTCAAGATGTAGCACTGCAAACACATATGAATACATTGCAGTTTGAAACAACAAGTCTACCAGATTTCTTGAGCTTTTGCGTGCGCATCCTCGTCACCCTCATCAGCGCCATCGTGTCACTGCCGCTATCGTCATCTTCAATCACCGCCATTGACGCCATCAGCAGCATAATCACCTTCATCATCGGCACATGGACGACATCATCGTCACCAGCATCGGCGCCATCATCGGCCTTGCCTTTGTCATCGTCATCGTCGCCACCATCATAGCTATTGCCATCATCGTTGCCGCCGTTGTCGACGTCATCATGATATCGTGCACGACCGAATCATCGACCCACACTGAAGTGTTCCCATCTGTAAGCGCCATCGAGGCCGCATCAGGTGTGCCAAACCTGCTGGTCGCTCTGCGCCATAGCGTGCGCGCGCCAGCGCAGCGCAGAGATGCGCCAGCAAGGGCCAATCAGTAGTCGCAATCGTGGCCGAATGGGTTTTGCCAAGCAAGTTGTTGCTGGTCGGAGTGTGGGTTGCATGCGCGAACAGTGGAGTTTATGATTTCAAGTCTCTGACGAATGGCACCCCGAAGATTATGGCGCATATTGGACTCCACCCCGTGGCCAGACTGGACGTGACGGTTCACTTCCGCGTATGAGATTGGCTTTTCAATTCTGCACGGTCGTTCATATCGGATATGTGGTTGTATTGTGCCAGCCACTTGGAAGTGATGCACGGGAATGATGAGCGTTCCGCCTGTCGCCGTTTTTCTCAAGCAATTTTCCACCTGAGGAGGTGGATGGTCGCGCTCGCCGGGGCTTTCGCGGGCCAAGTATTGGACCAGGCTTTCCATTGGTGCTCGGCTGTGCTCGGGCAGGCGCTGGGCACCTGGCTTGGGCGCGGGAGCAGCGTCGGCGAGTCGACCTGCGTGTGCAAGTTCGAGGGCGGTAACGTCGACTCGGGATTGATCTCGCTGCTCCAACGCCAGCTCGACTGGTGCGGGCCGGAGAACCTCGTCCGACAGGAGCCCGTCGTGAAAGGCTGGGTTGTTTCCGACTGGGTGTTTGTCGGTGTGTTGGTGGTGCTCGCGTTCGTATTGGGCCTGCTGGCGCGCGACTTCGCTGCCCTTGCTGCTCTCCGCGGGCCCGATGCCGCCGAAGATGTCGCACAAATTGAATGCCCTCGCGCGCCTAGCTCGTCTGGTCAGGGTGCTCGCCTTCTACGATCTGGTCGATAACTGCTGGCACGAGCGTGTGCTATTGGAACCCCTCGGGGGCACGCGGTGGATCATAGTGACGCCGCACTTCGATTTGTACGACGAGGACCTGGACGAGACCTTGGACTTGAGGCCAGTCGGGCCGCGCGGCAGCATCGGCACGGTCTACGGGGGGCTGCTGCGCATCGACATGGACGAGTTCGAGCGTCGACGGCCTGAGCTGTTTCGCACCGCCCGCGAGTATGCTGAGCAGATTCGCGCCGAGGAGGGCCTTCTTGATCCTGGCGACGGCGGCCCCATGCTGTTGGACGACGCTGCCGCCGGCGAGCCTGCCGGAGCGGGTCCTCCACCTCTTCCTGCTCCTGCTGGTCCGCCGGCTCTCGGCGCGGGCGATGCTGGAGGTGCCCTTCGCGACTGGGGGGCTGCCGAGGCCCGAGCTGGCTACGAGATCGGCGACCTCATCTCGAGGGTGAGGCCCAAGGTGGTCTTCGGCGATCAGGGCGCGCTCGAGCTGTCTGGCGGGGGCTCGTTGGCGGCGGCGCTGCCCGGCACCATGTCGCGGCCCACGCCGCGCGGCCACGACGACATCAGGACGCTGGCGGTGAAGGTCGACGGCCTCGGTGATCGGAGCAGGCCGTTCCCGGACGCGGTGAACTCGATGCAGATCGTGAGCGTCGAGGGCTGGCCTATCGTCGGCCCTCGTACTTGCTTGCGGTTGCTCATGCAGTTCGTCAAGCTGAACTTCACCCCGATGCTCAGACATCACTGGTGGCGCCAGATCCTCGGCTTGTCCGTTGAGGGCCCGGGTGTGGATGAACATGCCTTTCTCAGCGAGATGCTGGAGGTCGGGTGCCAGATCGACCAGGCGTGCCTGCCCAACCTCGCGTTCTTCGAGATGGTGTGCCGGAGGTGCCAGCTGTGGGAGGAGGTCCATAGCACGGCCTTGCGCGAGGCCGAGGGGGGCGGTGGTGCAGGAGGCTCGGCTTGGCGCGACGAGCGCGAGATCTTCTTGGGGCAGCAGCGGGGGCGGGGGGCCGCCCTGGCGGCCCCCGAGCTGAAAGGGGTGGGTTGCGGAGCGCCTGCAGAACGAAGCCGCGATCCTGAAGGAGAGGAGGAAGGGCCGGGAGGAGAAGCTCTTGGCCGCTGGCGTTGGCCCCGTCGGGGCCGCCGCTCCAGCACCGCGCGCCTGCGCGAACGCGCAGGCCAAGAAGAAGCCCAAGAAGCCGAAGACGGCTCCCAAGGGCGCCGAGGGCGCGGGCTAGCCCACGCTCTACATCTCTCTCGGTGGCGTCGGCTGAAGCCCCCCGGCCAGCTCGTCACAGTTCTCAGGGGAGGCGCCCGTGGACTACCCGGCGCTGCAGTTTTGCGTCATGGACGTTGTCGACTCGTCTCGCGACCTGCTTCCGATCCCACTGGGTGTTGGGCTGGATTCAGCACTGCGTGGCCCGGGCCCGCCCGGGTCGGCACCTGCAGCCCAGCGCCGAGGTGCAAGGCGTGATCGACAGAATCGCCGATCGCGAGATGGTCTTCGTGGTTTGAACGCGCTGGGAGGTCAAGGGCGGCAAGCTGCTCCTGATGCGGCGCTCACAGAGGCCCAACGCGTCGCTGTACGCCGCCTCGCTGGCCTGTATGGTTCGGTGAGCTTCCCAGATACGCACCATGATACCTATGCCTCGTGGAAGGCGTTGCAGGGACTTCGGCCGGGCTACGCTGAGTCGAGTCGGAAGGTGGCAGGGCGGTTTACCAGCCGGGTATGATCTCGCTACCCTGTGGAGGTGCTGGCCGGGTCGGTTTGGGCTCGATCATGCCGGGGCCGCAGCTCAAGATGCTGGAGGTTGGCCACGGCTTACTGCGCGAACCTGCTGAAGTTCAATCCTTGCTTGAATCGTGCACTGATATCTTGCGCTATCTCGACCCGAAGCTGGCGCGGAAGGGGCTGCGATTTTGGCCGCGCTCTGTCGGAGCTGTTCGACGCGGGCGTGGTGGAGGTAGACCCTAGGAACGCCTTGGAGGAGATTGTTTTTTTTTTCGCGCGGCGCAAAGACCACGGGCTTCGCTTGATCGCCGACGCCCGCGCTGCTAACCTTCACTTCGTCGAGCCTGCCTACGCCGAGCTCGCCAGCCCGGAGGCCCTCGCCGCTATCGAGTACGACGGGCCCGACATGATCGGTTTCTGTTCTGGGGACGTCGAGGTGTGCTTTTACCAGTATGAGCTGCCTGAGTGGGCGAGGCGGTGCTTCACCTTGCCCGCGATCAAGGCTCAGTACTTGCCTGCTGCGCTTCGTGGTCGGTTGGGTCTGGCTCGCGATGCGCCGGAGCTCAAGTGCAGGTTCCGCGTCGCGCCGATGGGCTGGAGTTGGGCGGCCCACCTGACGCAGCAGGGCCACCTGCACGTCATGGGGAGAGCGCTCCAGAGTGGCCGCTGGGTTCTTGACCAGCGGGCGGGCATTGACCTTCGGCGCGATGACGCGAAGGCGCTCTATATCGACAACTTCGCCGTCGCCTCCGTCGACCAGGTGCGCGCCGAGGGGGCCGCCCAGGTTACGCGTGGGGCGCTGGCCGAGCTCGGGGTCGTCAGCACCATCGAGGCGTGCGACGGCAGCAAGGCCGAGCTGCTGGGGTGCGAGCTGGACCGGACCACTGGCCGATGGCGCATCAAGCCTAAGCGTTTTTGGCAGCTCATGGGCGCTCTCGACTACCTGCTTGAGGCCAAGGGCAGGAAGGTCACAGGGCACGAGGTTGAGTGCGTCCTGGGGCGCATCGTGGCCGCATGCATGCCGGGGCGAGGGTCGCTAGCCTTGCTTTCCGCCTGCTACGCCTCCGCAGAGACCTCTGGCCTGAAGCGCCAGCCGCTGTGGCCCAGCGCCCGACGCGAGCAATTCTGGGCACGCTCGCTGCTGCCTTGCATCGTCGGCGAGATGGGCAAGGCCTGGTCCTCGACGGTCACCGCCTACGACGCCTCACCTTGGGGCTACGGCGTCGTCGAGACGGAGTGGGGGCCCGCTGCCGTCGCCGGTCACGGCCGACTCTGAGCGAGCTCGCTTCCGCGGGCCACTTGCTGCTGCTGGCGCCCCCCGGGATCGCACCCTGGAGGCTGAGGTGGCGCAGGCTCCGGGCGCCGCCCTGATCCTGACCGGTCGGGCGTCGGAGTTCCCCGGGATCAGCGCGAGGGCCCTGACCGAGGCCACCTGGCGCGTGGTGGGCCGCGGGCGCTGGAGGCGGCGCGAGGCAACCCACTGCCTCGAGGCCGCCTCTGTCTGCTGGGCCGCGAGGCGCATGGCTAAGCACGCCCGGCGGCATGGCCGGCGCCACCTCGTTCTGGGAGACAACATGTCGGTCACCTTTGCACTGGCAGAAGGAAGAGCTTCGGATCATCGTCTGCTGCTTGCCTGCCGGGTCGTCTTCGCGGGCAGCGTCGCGACCGACATCCGGCTGCGCTGTCGGCGGCTACCCTCGGAGTGGAACCCCAGCGATCAGGCTTCTCGTCGGCGTCGGCCGCCTGGGCTCAAGCACGAGCGTGGGCGCGGGCCGCATGCAGAGGGGGGCGCTGACGGCTCGGTCATCGACCCCGCCGTCCACCTGGAATTCAGGCTCAGGCCCAGCCGAAGGGAGAGGCAGTCGACCCCGCTCGGCGCGCCGAGCGACCCCAAGCTCGGACAGCGCAGCAAGGGCGCCCACCTTGGGGCGCCCGGGCTCTGGTCGGCTGCCGCCGGCCTCGCAGCGCAGGCCTGGGCCGACCGAGCAGCGCGGCGACGTGGAGGCTCGGCGCCGGGTCGAGCGAGAACGGCAGCTACTCTGCCCTCGCCTGCCCCGGCTGGCCGCCGAGAAGGCGAGGCTGAAGACCCAGGCGATCTACGTGGGCGCGCAGAAGGCCTTGCTCGCCTGGCTCCGCCTGCGCTGCCTCCCGGACTGGTCGCGCCCTGGTGGAGTTCGTGGAGTGCCTCTTCGACAAAGGCGGGGCTGCTGCGACTGCCAAGCGAGTCGGGCCCGCCCTGCTCTGGGGAGATCCTCGCCTTGTTCTGGGGCCCTTGCGCGCCACCTTCGATCCCGGTCTTGCAGCAGGCGCTGAAGGGCTGGGTCCAGCGACGGCCCGAGTTCCCGCGCCCTCCGCTGCCCTGGCCGGTGGCGGCCGCTGCGGCCCGGGAGCTGCTCGACCTCAACATGGGCATGGCAGCGCTCGGGATCATGATAATGTTCGAGACCTACGTGCGCCCCTCCGAGCTGCTGGCGCTTCTGACCGACCACGTCGTGCTGCCCATCCCGGGCGAGGCGGGGGCCGCCCGCTGGCTGGCCTTCGTTATCCGGGCGCAGGAAGCGCTGGCGCCGTCCAAGACGAACGCCTTCGACATCGGCGCGCCGCTGGACTTGGAGAGGCAGTGCTGGCTAGCCCGCTGCGTGGAGGCGCCGCCGTGGCCCGGGCAGTTCGCCCCTCGGCCTCGCGCGCGCGGACTTCGCCGCAGCCTTCAAGACGGCATTGAAAGGAGTTGGTGCCTCGGCGCTGCAGGGCACCCTCTACTCGCTGCGCCATGGCGGCGCCAGCCACGACCGGATCATGGGCGCCAGGTCCTTGGCCGCCGCGCAGCAGCGCGGCGGGTGGCGCGCGTTCCGGAGCGCCTTGCGCTACGAGAAGGGCCTCGAGCTGCAGAAGCTGGGGCCAGCGCGGCTGGCGCTGCTCCGGCGAAGGTCGGCTGGCATCGAGCTCGCCTTCGAGAGGTACTTCGGGCTGCGCTGGGGGCGACGCGCGGCCGGCAGTCCAGAGTGATTGTCGAGGTCTTCTCGGGCTCTGGCGAGCTCAGCCGGCGCCTGCGCGTGAAAGGAGAAGCCGCGATATAATGGGACACGAAAGTGGTGAATACTTTGATCTACTCACCCCTGGGGCGCGGCTCGTTCTGGGAGGCTGGATCGTCTCAGGAGTGAAGGCAGCGTGGCTTGGCACGCCGTGCGAGGGATATGCCCGCGCGCGCAGAGCGCCGCCGCATAGCCGAATGCCGAAGGCAAGTCGATCTCCGATGCGCCCCCTCGGGCTCCCGGGTGTGTGCGGCAATGGCCTTGAGCTCTTGGCTGTTTCTAATCGTCTTGGTGCTATTGCGGGTGAGCTGCAACGCCTGTGCATCCAGCGCAGTATTCCTGGTGGGGAAGAAAATCCGTGGCAGAGTTTTCTTGGCTTCGTCCTGGTCGGGTTTCGCTCTGGAGGTCTGGCCTGCTCGAGGAGAGAATTGTAGATTATTGTGCCTGTGGCCGGCTTTTTAGGGGCCGCGCTCATTTGCGATTTTGGCGTTGCCGACCCGACCCTGGTTTAGACAATCTGCTCTGTCGAGGGCCGCGGGGTCGCTGTGCGTTCACGGGCAAGCCTCGCAAAGCTGGCGGGCAATTCCTCGTTGAGTTGAAGAGCGCCGATCCTGCCCTCCTCTCCTCCTTCCTTGCCCCCACTCTTCACCAAAGTAGTTCCCTTTAAGGAAATAACAAAAGCCTGGCAACTTTATAAGTAAGCGATTTTCAGTGCAATGCTTGGCGGCGGGGCGCCTGGTTTGAAGTTTGGAGTTTTCGGATGATTCGCCGAGGCCTTCAGTGTATAGCAGTGCCCCGGCAGATGTCCTGTGAAGCCCCAAGCAAGTCACTGACTAGAAAAAGCGATCATGGAAGTGACGCGCGGGAATGATGAGCGCCCCCCCCAGTCGCCGTTTTTTCTCAAGCAATTTTCCACCTGCCCAAGGCCAGCCCAAAGCCTCGGAGGGAAATTTGCGCCCTGGTTGAGAGCGCTGAGTTTTCGAATGATTCGCCGAGGCCTTCAGTGTATACCAGTGCCCCGGCAGATGTCTTGCGAAGCCTCAGGCAAGTCACTGACTAGAAAAAGCGATCATGCATATTTCACCTTATGATATTTGAAGGGCTTCGCCCTCTGCCGCCCGCCCCCCAGATTACTGGCGTGGCCGCGCTTGGCCGGTAGGTTGGTTGGATTTTGTGCCGGTTGGCTGGCTGGCGTCTCGGTTGATTGGTTTGTTGTCTAGACTGCTGGATCGTAGTTGGTTTGAGCTATTTGCGAGCTGGCTGGTTGCGCGCATTCATTTCTTAATGGGGGCGATGGCCTCGGCAGCCCGCTTCCATTGCAATTTTGTATTTCGCTGGTGTTCGCGGCCTCGGGAGCGCGCGCCCCAGCTACTTCGAGAAGCCGCGGCCTTGGGCACAGACCCGAATTCCCTGGGAAGGACGGGGGGGGGGCAAAAACGCCACCATAACACATGCACCAACGCAGGAGATGGCATTGCTCTGCTATGGAGAGGAGGCGGCCCTCCGTGGGGTGGGTTCGCGCTGGTCTGTGGCCTCGGGGGCGCGAGCCAGTTGCTTCGAGAGTTTGGTTCGTCGTAACATACGACAGATTGCTGCTTCGGGAAAGCGAGTTCGTTTTCATGTACGAGGGGCCGTGGCCTCGGGAGTGCACATCCGTTGTAGTTTGCGAGACGGGTTGCGGCCTCGCGGGCGCGAGCTCGACGTAATTTACCAGGGCTTGCGGCATCGGGGGCGCGAATCGGTTTTTTGTTGCATGTCCCAGGCCCCCCGCCCCGAAATTCAGATTGCGTGATTTGGGGAAGGGGGCTGGGTTATTTTCGGGCGCCCCCCGCGCGCGGACTCCGATCGCTACCGCGTTGGAACTAGAGACGATCTAGAATTTTGATATGGGAGCTGGAATTGGTGGAGGGAACCAGACGTCCTAGGCCACGCAGCCTGTCGGCCCCCAACGGGGCCAGCGGACAATGCGGAGCATTCGCTTTGATACGCAAATGCATTTTCAATGAACCAGTACCAAAAATATGTGGGTCACACTCGCGCACGTGCCACTATATGTCCACATCCATTGATTATCACACACACCGTCAGCTAACATTACCAGCACACGTTTTCGCCAGCGTGGACCCCAAACGGATGCGTAAGCTATATTGTGCAATATGTGTGATACACATGGTTACGATGTGCTGTATATATACATATATGGTGCAAACTATATGGTGTAAGCTCTGTTGTGCAGGCTGTGTGGTGTAAGTTATGCTGTGGAGTCCATGAGGTGCAAGCTATGTGGTAGAATTCCCCTCTCCGGGTTTGAAGTTATCGACTCCACTGTTCGCGCAATCATCCCGCCCACCCACTCGCAGTTTGGTTTGTAAGACCCATGCGGAAACGATTGCGATGAGTGTTTGGTGTTGGTTGGTGCATCTTTGCGGCCGCGCTGGCCCGCGCATGCTGGCGCGCGCAGGGGCCAGCTAGTTTGGCGCGACCGACGCGAATGCGGTGGCGCTGACCATTCGGCACATCCCAGCGGGCACGTCAGTGCGAGTCGGCGACTTGGGCGGGCGCGGTATCATGGCAACGTCGACGATGGCAGGCACGATGCTGATAGTAGCGATGCTGGTAACGATGCTGAAAGCAACGACGGGGCAGCCAGTGACGGCGCCGATGCTGATCTCACATGTCAATTACAATACGAAAAAGGGAAAAAGGGAACGGATATCCTGGGGGGGTAGAGTTTTTCTTTTTAGGAATATTTCCGTGTTGCGTACCATGTGGTGCAAGCTATGTGGCCGAATATTTGTGGTGTAATTTATTTCGTGCAACACGTGTGGTGCAAGCTAGATGGTGTAAGCTATGTGACCACCCAGCGCAAGGTGTGCCCACGAGACGCCCGCGACTAGGCACCAGGCGAAATCACGACAAACCAATCCAGCGTGACGGGCGCTCATGAAACGCCCACGACCAGGCATCAACTGGGCATCAGGCGAAACCTTTTCGCAGGTATACCCAGCGCAAGGTGTGTGCGCGAGGCGCCCACGGTGGACGACCATGCACAATTTGGGCACCAATCGGGCATGGGGCAATGGGCACCAGACGACAGGCACAATCTGAATTTGGAGGGGGTGTTACGGGGATTCCCGCGTGAGCAATGGCGCAACGTGCGGGAGATAACCATACCCGGGGAATTGCAATTCGGGGTGGTGCAGGACGTTTGGCGCAGCTTACGGGGCACGGTATGGAAGATAGTCAGGGGGGGGGACTTCGCGATTTCGTGTGAATCGGGTTGTTGGCCCAGCTTATTGCGCAATGTCAGGAGGGTGCACTGTTAACCAAGGTTTCTTGGGGCTGCGGCGTGTCTGGTGCAACCTGTGGCGCAATGTATAGAACGTAGACAAAACAGTGATATCGCGATTCGGGGCGGCGGCGGGGTGTCCATCGCAACCGATGGCCCAACACGTGGCGCAATTCATGGCGCAACCTATGCAACATGGATACGTTGGGGGGCATCTCCATTTGGGTGGGCGCGGGGTGTCTGGCACGACCTATGGCACAACTTAAGCAACGTATGCAGGAAGTGTAAACAATGATTTTGGGGGCGCGGGGGTCAGGCGCACCCTATGGCGCAACCATGGGAGGCAGACGGACTGGGAACCGATGGATGGTAGACGGAGTGGGGAAATCGCAACTCGGAGAGGGCGGGGGGGGGTCTGGCGCAATCCATGCCGTAATTTTTCGGACGCACGCAGGGGTAGAAAACTGCGATTTGGTGAGGGCGCGGGGTGTCTGGCGCAACCTGTGGCGCAGCATATGGCGAATAAAAGGGATTCGCTTTGGGTGCGGGGTTTGCGGGGTGCCTAGCGCAAACTTCGGCGCAACTTCTTACGGGAGGCAGACAAATTCGGGAGAACGCAATTCGGAGTGGCGCGGGGTTTGTTGTGAAAAGTAATTTGGGGTGGCGCCGGGTGCCTGGCGTAGCCTCTGGCGCAAATTAATTATTGCGCAACCCATGGAAGGTTGACAGCGTGGTGAGAAAACAACTCAGGCTGGCGCCGAGTGCTTGGCGCAACTTGGGGCGAAACTTGTTGATTGGTGACAAATTCTGGGGGGCGCGGGTTGTTCAGGCAGGCCCAGATTCGGGATGAATCGTTCCAGAGCTGGAACGCTTTCAGGGAGTTTCGGCACGCTCTGAGACGGCCGCGGCGCTAGATACATCTTCCAGATCCGCCAGATTTCAGAGATTTCCGATGTGTCCCGATCCGATTTTGTCCCGATCCTGGCTTCGTTTTAGTTTTCTGCCTCAACCTATATTGGGTAGACAAAGCGTTCCAAAGCTTAGAGGCTCTTCAGGATGCTTCCCGCGCGGAGCCTCGACGATCCCAGAGAACCCAAAAGGCTTCAGAGGCGTTCCGAGGAGTTTTTGGCCGGTACAGGGGGATCACGTAGACCCCCCCCCCGAGACAGCGACGTGCTACCGAAATTGGGCTACGTAGTGTCACCCTTGCCGGTGGAACAAGGCATGAGACAAGCAATGAGATTTTGGAGTCGGAGTAGCCAGTAAGCAAAGGGAGGAGGGATAAGGGAGGGGGAGAGGGAGGAGGGAAGTGAGAAGAGGGAGGAAATGGGAAGAGACATGAAGGCGGGATGATGGCGGGAGGCTTGGGGGAGGATGAATGACGCAGAAGGGATGGCGCACATCGCACCCATGTCGACTATTGAATCATCACGCGAGCGCGCGACACGTGATACCAACTTCAGGGCTGGGAATTGACGGACCTGGGAAGGTCCCGAGACATTCTTGGGATCTTCAGAATGCATACTAAGAGTGTTGCGAATCTGGCCCGAGGTGCCACAGGATGGTTCCAAGACCAGCCAACCACCAGCCCAAGGCAGCCCCAAAACTCTCCCAAGGCAACCCCAAGACTCGAATCCAAGGAGGCCCGAAGACCCAATAGCCGCTAG